CAACCCTCCCCTTCCCCTCAACCATTTCGTCCCAAACCTACTGCAAAAAAAAAAGCCCAACAAAACCCATTTTTTTTTCCTTCATTCCCTACTGCCCAGAACCAGCCCCAAAAAAAAGCCATTCCTCCCTCACCTTTTGCTTTGGTTTGAAAAGCCAAAGACAGCCCAAAAACCCAAAAGCCCACCCACCTTATCACCTAAAACAGCCCCTGGCTAAACCATCCAAAAACCAAGCCAAAACATACTCCAAAAACCTTTCAACTCACTGCCCAGGAACCAACCCCAACTCGGCCAACCTATACCCCAAAATACCCTGCACTTCTCCTTCCTTAAAACCATGTCAAACCACTCCCAAAACATGTCTCATGGAGATTTAGTTGCTGAACAGAATAAACTCAAGAAGGAGCTTGATGCTTTGATGAAAAAGATTGGAGAGTTCACAAATTCAGTGGACATTCCGACCAACTAAGTATCACTTGTTGGATCATGGGGTTTCCTTGCACCGTAGGAGCAACAACACACATTGAGTAGGCTTTCCAGATTGGTGAGATCGTTTTGCAGTTTAGAAATATATGGTGTTCATTATACCCATGCGTTGGAGATTGTTTGGGAAGGGGAGTAAGTTGTTGAAGAGACGCCAAAGGAAAGTGCTGATTTTACCCATTTGTCTCTTATCCCAGATGTAGACACAAGTTGCTTGTTTGGGCTGATGATCATAGGTAAGGGAGTAGGCCTTTTTGAAAGAGTATGCTCCAAAGGTCCAGTTTGCCCCTTCTGTGGACAGTCTGTAATGAGGCATGATAGTTGGGGTGACTTTACAGATGGATTTCCAGGACTACCTTCCACCAAAGGTCAATGAAAGCGGCGTCTTGGCAATGTGTGAAGTTCCTCAAACCCAGCCCCCCCCTCCACAAAGGGATAACACAGCTTATCCCATTTCCTCCAATGGTATTTTGGGCTCTCCTCTTTTTCCCCCCACAAAAAGTTTGCCATTAATCTCTTTAGACTTTTTGTAATGGACTTGGGTAATCTTTGGGCAGCCATTAGATGCATAGGAATTGAAGATAGCACATGCTTGATAAGAATAAGCCTTCCCATCTGGTTTAACTTTTTACTGTACCAAACATTTATCCTTCTCTCAAATTTTCGAATCAAATCCTTGCAGTGTATCTTCTTGAGCTTTCCCTTGACAATGGTGGATCCAAGGTAAACAAAAGCTTGGGTACTGCACTTGATAGAAAGGATCTTCCTAATTTTGTGCTGGTGCTCCATCTTCATTTTTCCATGTACAATAGCTTGGCTCTTGAGGTAGTTGATTTCTTGTCCTGAAGCATTCATAAATGTGGATAACATTCTTTTAAGTCTAAGGAGGTTTCTGCAATCAGCCTTAGTAAAGAGAATGATGTCATCCGCGTAGAGAAGGTGGCTTGGGGTGGGTGTTCTCCCTGCTGAGAAGTGTGAGATCTGCCCTGTTGAGTGGAGGTGGTTGATGAATCTGGACAGCCCTTCCAAAGCTATGATAAAGAGTAGAGGGGAGAGTGGATCACCTTGCTTAACCCCACACTTCATGGGGAAAAAGCCCTTTGGTTGGCCATTAACTAAAACAGAGAAATGTGTTGCTTTGAGATTCCCCATGAGCAGGTGTATTGTGCCTCTAGAGAAGCCAAACTTGGTAAGAATTCCCTCCAAATAGGCCCATGAAAGTTTATCAAAAGCTTTGGATAAGTCCAACTTTATAATGCAGTTTCCTCCCCTAGCATTAGCAGAAAGAAGATGCACCATTTCCTTGGTCAATAAGACATGTTCAGTAATATTTTTCCCAGTCTGGAATGCTGTCTGTTCTTGAGAGATAAGCTTAGGAAGAATCAGTTTAAATCTGTCACTCAGGATTCTGGAGATGATTTTACTGAAAAAAGTTGACAGGGAAATGGGCCTGAGCTGATCTAATGTGATTGCAGCCTCATCTTTAGGGATGAGGGTTATAAGTGTACTGCCAAAGACCTTAGGCATGGGGACACCTATGAAGAATTCTTGGACAGCCTTGCACACATCCGATTTGATGATGTCCCAAGAATTCCTAAAGAAAAAGCCATTAAAACCATCGGGACCTGCTGTGCTATTGGCATTGAGAGACCAAATAGTTCTTTTAATTTCCTCTTCCTCAGGGATGTGACTGAGCATATAATTGTCTTGATCATTTACTGAGGAAGGAATGAGATTTAGAATCTCTTCCATCTCTCCCTCATGGATGAATGAGAAAACCTTTGTGTAGTGCTCCACTGTAATTTTAGAAATCTCCTCAGGTGAGGAATGTATTTTGCCATTCCCATCCTTCAGAGAGGAGATGTGCAATCTGTGTCGTCTTCCCCTTACATAAGAATGGAAAAAGGAGGTAGAAGCATCTCCTTGAGAGATCCACTTGATGTTAGCTTTTTGAGCTCAGAAACTTTCCTCTTTTTCATGAGCCTGTTGAAGTAGGGCAGTTGCAAGCTTGAACTCCATTAGGTTGGTAAATGACTCCTCCCTTTCAAGAGTGGCTTCTGTTTTTTCAGCCCTTTCTTCAGCTTTAGAAACCTCTTCAAACAGATTACCAAAAATATCTTTATTCCATTTTTGAAGGGGTTTTTTGAGCTTAGATAGTTTCACAGCCAATCCTCTCATGCCTCCACCTTGATAATTTGTATCCCATGAAGAAATGATCAAATCCTTGAAGGATTTGTGGGAGCTCCAAATATTAAGGAATTTGAAAGGTTTTGGGCCAGGGCTTTGGCTAATGAAAGATTTAAGAAGTAGTGGCCTGTGATCTGAGTTACCTCTACCCAGGTGTCTCACCTCTAATAAACTGAAAAGATTCAAACAGGCCTCATTTACCAGAATTCTGTCAAGTCTTCTGTAGACTCTCCCTTTACCCCTTTTTCCAAACTAGGTGAATTGGCTTCCAAGAAAAGAAGGGGAAATGAGCTCACAGTCAGAGATGGTGCTAGTGAAATCCTCCATGCTGCCAAGTTCAGGACAAACAGCTTCTTTGTGCTCAGTAATAGAGGATACTGTATTGAAATCGCCCCCAATGATCCAGGGACCTTGGACAGGAAAAAGGTTACGTATAGAAAGCCAAAGACTCTCTCTATCAATTCTGCAATGTTTACCATAAACACTGGAAATCCAGATATTTGCTGAGGACTCAATATTTTTAAAGCAACAGGTTAGCATTTGATCATCCTCAATGATGGCCTGAAGTGAGAGGGTGTTTTCATTCCATAAGAACCATAATTTATTATTTAAAGCACAAAAGCCCTTAGAAAAACCAAGTTTCATTTTGTACCAGTCAAGTTTTTTGGGGTCAACCAAGGGCTCTAAAAGAGAAAGAAAGTGAAGGTTGTGTTTTTTAACCAGAGAGCAGAGACGAGGAAGAGAGATATGTACACCTCTAATATTCCAAAAGAGGCCAATCATGAGGAAAAAGTAGAAGAGGAGTTGTTTGAGGCCATATGCCTGGTGACCATAGCATGATTCCTAACCTTTACCCTGGAGCTGGAAGATCTGGGACTCCCACTGAGATTTTCCTTTGAGACAGGCAAAGGGGGGAAATTTTCCAATGCAAGTAGGTTGTCCAGAAGCTTGATTTTTTCATCAATCACATTAGCCTCAGTGAAGAACCCTACCTCTGGTGGTCCATCATCCGGGAGGGTTAGGAAAGGATTCTGCTGGAAAGGAACAATAGCTAGAGAGTTGTCCATATCCTGCTGGATATCACTAAAGATGGGGGTCCTGAGCACATTCTCCTGCACATGACGCAGTGTAAGGCTAGAGAGGAGGTTGGGGTCTGTAATGCAGTAGGTCCCAATCTTCCCAGCCTTTGCAGATGGTGGGGTATTAGGTGCTGTAGATGTAACAGGGTTTTTGGACGATTCTCCTGGACCTTCCAGCCAAGTTGTATGGGCAGTAGCAGTAGGTTTGGCCCTCCAATGAAAGTTGCCTGTCAAAGGCTCAGACACCTTGTTTTTACCTTTCTTGGACTTCACTGCTTGCCATTTTTCAGGATTCCCTTGACCAGAGAGTTGTCCTTGAGAGATCACAGGCTCCTCCATGGGTGGTTCCGGCCTTTTCCGATCCGCCACCGTAGTCTTTTTTCCCCTGCAATTCTCCCTAAGGTGGCCTGTTCTCTTGCAATCCTTGCAGTAAGAGGGGACATTCTCGTAAAAGAAGGAGAAGATAAGCTCCTCACCACCATGATTAATAAGGACCTTTGGAGGAGGGAGATTGGAGATATCAACTTCAACACAACATCTTGCTAAGGCAGGCCTGGAGAAGTTAAGCGTGCATGAGTCCACCTGCAGAGGGTTACCAATGGTAGAGGAGATGAGGTGAAGTGCCCTTTTGTCATGAAGGTGAATGGGGAGGTCCGGGAAAGCAATCCAGATAGGCATAGCCGGGTTCTCTGTTTCTTGCGAAAGGGATGGACTCCATTTGGTAAGGGTCATGGGAACTCCAAAAACCTGCCACGTCCTCCTAAGGAAGAGACGCAAGTAGTCTTCCTCTTTACTAAAGTTCAGTAGGAAACGTTGATGAGGAAGAGCAGATATTTCAAACCTTCCCTTTAAACCCAGTTTTTGGAGAAAAAGGTTCATGGAGGAGAAAGACGGCCGATGCTTGAATTTGCCCACCAGCGCCAGTCTGAACCTTGAAGCTAGCTCAGATATATCATCTTTAGTGAAGGAAACCGAAGGGATACCTTTGAAGAAGCCTGTAGCCTTGCCCTCCAGACGTTTGCCCGTGAAGTTGGATGAGACAACCTCGGAGAATAATCTGGATGAGGTTTCCGGTGGTTTTCTGGTCACCGGAGTTTTAGAGAGAGAATCAGCCATCATTATATATATATATATATATATATATATATATATATATATATATATATATATATATATATATATATATCCCTGAAGAATCTCACAAAAGTAGTGTCTTGGGAGGATGTGTGCACATAGACCTTACCCCTACTTCAAAGTAGAAAGGTTGTTTTCAAGAGATCTCCAACTCAACACAGAGAGCACATAACATAACAAAAAAGATCAAAGAGCAAACTAAGGGCAAGAAAAGTTCAAGAAGACAGACACACAACCAAATGCAAACAAAGACACTAAGCCTAGAAAACACACAACGACGAGCAAAAACTACCACCCATGTCCAAACTCCAAACCACTACCTCACTGCCCAAGTGTCCTAGTCCTAGATCTCTAGATGCTCCTATCTAAGATCATATTCTCGGTAAGGGCTTGAAGTTCTAAGTCTTGTCTAATTACCTCCTAATTCTATCTAAGTCTACTCCTTCCCCTATCTCCACCCATTATCGTTAGCCTCTCGCATTGGAGCCCCAACACTACGCTGCTTCATATGACCAAACCATCCTCTCGCAGCTTATCTTCCATCCTCCACACGTGCCACTCCCTCCTTTCCTCAGATAACGTCATTCTCTCGGCTGCCCATACGTCTACCGCATCATCCGCATCTTTGTCCCATGCAGTTGACAAATGTGAACATTCTTAACGGCCCAACATTTTGCTCCATAACGCATAGCTGGTTTGACCACTGACCGGTAGAACTTTCCTTTCATGCTTGTTGAAATCTTCTTATTGCACAAGACCACAGAAGCCAGCTTCCACTTAGCCCAAGTAGCTCCAATTCAATGAACATCCCCATCCATCTCCCCATGTGTTTGAATGATCAAACCAAAGTACTAAAACTTATATCTTACAACACCTTTAATGGGGAGGGAATGTTCGAGAAAAGTTGATGTGGCAAAGGAGAAAGTAGGTAAAATCCTTAGAGGAAGGAGAGAAAAAGAAGTGAAAGAGAAGAAGAGAGGAAAGCATTTGCATCAGGGAAATCATGAGAGAGAAAAATAAGAATTTATTCATCTATTTTGTTTTTGTTGTTGAATTCTATCGGGCAGTTGAAGTGATTTACTCTTTTTTTGAATCTCTATATTTTTTTAAATGAATCATTTCATTTTTTAAAATGATTTACTTCTACTTTTTGGCTTCCCCACTTTTTTAAAAACAGACCCTTCAAGATGATTTGGTCAAACCTATATATGAACTCCTTGTTATGAAGGATTATTGATGGAATTTACTCTAGTTTTTATTTATGTTTTTACTATTTATTTGAGAATTTTTTACCATTTAAATTGTAAATTGTTATTTAAAAATTTTTTATTATTCAATATTTATAAAAATGTTTAAAGTTAGTATTGTGTCTGTTTTCATATTTTTAGTACTCCCTTCGGTCCTAAAAACTCTTGGTTTGACTTTTTTGTCAACCAGTGACACTCTTTGACCACAAATTGTGAGAAAAGTATATTGAATTATAATATAAATCCAATTCAATTGGGTTTTTCTTAGGATATAGTTTTGATATATCAAATTTTTATAACATTTATTTATTTTGATTATGATTAATTTATGGCTCGTGTTGTTTGACTAAAAAAAGTCAAACTAGGAAGAGTTTTTAGGACCAAAAGAAGTAATAAATATGACATGTGTATTAGTATATTTATTATAATAAATTTTTATGCAAGTTATAAATTGGAACATATTTAGAGGAAGTGTTGTGTGGTCTAGTATATTTTTCTTATTATAATTTATACTCCCTCTGTCCCTGAAAACCTTTCTCCTTTCTTTTTTCATCCGTCCCAAAAAACACTTCTCATTTCTATTAAAAAGTCACTTTTACCCCTTACTTTTTCATACTCTTCCTATTACATCATACCTTTTTACTAATAATTTATCCATCAAATCATACTTTTACCCATCACATCAAAGGACATTTTTAGAAATTCAATACCAAAATACACTCCCCTTAAATCCATCTTCAAAATCAAAACTCCCATGTTTTCCGGGACGGAGGGAGTATGTTACTTGTAAAATGTAAAGTAAAGTTTGTGGTATATGGAGTATATGTTTTTATTAAAAGTAAACAAATTTAGTTTTCATTTAAGTTATTTAAAAAATAAAATATCTTGATTTATTATAATAAAAATTATGTAGATAAAATAAATTTATGACATGTGAAGGCCACCATCATAAAAGAGAAGCAAAAATGTGAGGAACTATTAAAGTGATGTGAGGAAAGTTTAGAGGGAAAGTGATGTCGCAATATCATCCGCAAAAAGCATGCACCAAGGAACCTCCCCTTAGATATCATGCGATTGAAGATCTATCACCAAGGCAAAGAAGAAAAGGCTAAGAGTAGACCCTAGTGACAGTCTTAACCTAGTCCTTGCCCACACACATTGAGTTAGGGGTGCGCACAAGCCGGTCCAGGCCAATTTTCATCAAAACCGACCCTGGCTTGTTTATATAGACACGGGACAGGCCGAAAAAACTTTATAATTAGAACCAACCCCAACTCGGTTTGTTTGAATGTAAAGTAACTAATTAATATGTTAATTGTAAAATGTGAAGTAAACTTTATATATGATTTCGAAGCACTTATTCTATCAAATATATTGGAAAATATGGATTTCTCTTTGAGCAATGATGATTACGATTAGGCTTTGAGAAACATATGTAGTAACTTCTCTAATTGTTTTGTTTAACATGTATGATTTGCTTGGTATTGACATTATTAATTGCACTGCACTATATATTTTTTGTACTTGTGTGTATGCCCCAAGTCCGCCTTTTGGTTGCCCACCTCTCTTGTCGCCTTTCGCCTTAAAAAAGGCCCTCTCGCCTTTTGCCTTTCAAAACTATGGTTTATCTTCTAAAAAATAATTAAATATTAAGATGTAATATTTATTATTATACATAATAACAAGCCGGTCCGGCTCCTTTGAAATATAAAACTGAAGAACTGGCCCTCCCCATTTAAACAAAGGAACCGACCCGGACTGTCCTGTTTTTAAAATTGAAATATTGGACCCGCCCCTAGCTTGCGCGTGCTGTTTGGTTCCGACCCGTAGTTCTAGGACCCGTATCCTACATACAATTGTTGAGTAGTGTGTGTAGTCATAAATTAGAAGTTTATGCCTATCAGCCAATGTAAGGAAATGTTGTCTTATGTCTGATGTTTGTATGCTGAGATTGCTAATTTGGCACTACTAGGGTTATGGCAACATGTGGTAATATTTATTCCCTTCTTCCCTTAGTACTAATCTAGTTTGATTTTTTATGGTCAAACTAGATAAATTTTAATCATCAATTAAATAAATACTCCCTTTGTTCCTAAATGGAAATGGAATGCACTGTGGTTGTCGTTATTTTGGCCTCCGTTAACTTTTGTTTATTTACGTGTTTTCATTTATCATTAGATAAAGTAAAATATTCTTGTCACCTCTTACTTTGTAGAGCTTTGATGTAGTTTTTAAATATGTAAGTTTTATTTTTTATGTATATACCAATTTGTGAATAAAATAAATTTAAAAGACATGGGTTTAGCACGTACTCCAGAGTGCAATCTATTTAGGGACGTAGCGAGCATTACATTATATCAATACGAAAGTAATTTCATTAGATTTTTCTTACAAAGAGATTTTGGATTATTATTTCATTTCTATCATTCTGCATTTTAATTTTTATTTTAGTTGATGATCAAAGTTTGTCCATTTGACCACAAAAAGTTAAACTGGACAAATACTCTTAGACGGAGGTGGTATTTTGTTGAACAAAGGGTATTACCTATCAATCAGGTCTATATTCACATTAAAATTTATCTCTTAAAGGACATCAGCCAAGGTATCAGGTATGCATAATGCCATTACTTTATTAGAGACTTCCCCAGTACACACTAATGAAGAGTTCCAAGGGTTGGAATACGAGGTTGTTTTATACCATATCCTTGAATGTGATCATTCTGGAAAAGAAAGATTTAAAAATAAAAAGAAGACTTATTTCTGTTATTCCAAGAAAAACATTCTGAAATAAAAATGTATAATAAGAGTTGTTTGTCTGAATGTCTTGGGTTGAAGTGTAATAGTTGTGCTAGGTTAATATGACCTGTTTGTGATGTAAAAATGACTCTTGTTCCATGTGCACATAATGTAGCTTTGTTTTATTTTTTTCTTTTTGATCACATCTTAAAACTTGATTCTTTGAGGAAGCATGTTCTAATAGTTTGTCACACAGCCTTCACGATCATGAGAACACTAAATTGCATTTGGGTGGAATGCGAGTTGCAAAGTTCTCGCCCATTGTTTTAATCTTTGATGTTCTTGAAATAGAGCATCTCTTTATTTTACTTAGAGTGAATTCCTAAAATGGTCCTTTATAATAATGTGTTTTCCGAAATTAGTCGTCTATAAGTAATAATTACCTACGTGGTACTTTATAGTTGGGATTTATTCCGTTGGTAGTCCCCCGTAAAAAAATATTTTGGTAATTTTTCATCATCTAAACTACGATGAAGATCTCAAAATACTATTTTCTAATTAAATGTTTTCCTAAATCACCCCTTTGAGGTTATAATTATAAATTCACCTCATTGTGGGAGGGCTATCATGGAAAACAAATCTCAATAGTAAAATAAAGTACTATGTAGGTATTTATTTTCTATTGAGGACTATTGAGGGAAAATATCTCAATTATGAAGTAACATATAAGTATTGATTATTGAAGGCTGAGTTGGAATACGCCTTATTAGAGAGCACCATTTTGGGAATTCACTCTTTTTATTTATTTACTAGTTATGAGAAAACTCGGTGCTTTTGGATTTTTATAGATTCTTTGACTGCTCATTACTGCGATATGAATCATGTGATTTTTGAACCCACCTCACACATGTTTCTTCCCCCAAAAAATCCCTACCCCCCCCCCTCCTAGTTTCTCTCGGTTCTCCTATCTCTTCCTCTAAGGCCCGTTCTTTTGGATTGGAAAAACTAACTTCCAACTTCTACCAACTCTCTCTAGTTCCTTCCAACTCCTAGTTTCTTCCAACGACTTAAAAAAGTATTTATATATGACTAATACACAGGTATTTATATATGATTAATACAAAATAACATTATATATCCAAATATATAACATATCACATCAAACACGGACAATGATGAATTTTTTTATCCAAAATTAGAGGTTTATTACATATTTATTTGGATGATCATTTAATTGAGTAACTTTTTAACACTTAAATTCATCCAACATTTTTCAACTCCCAGTTTTTTCCAGCTTCTAGTTTCTTCCAACATCCAACTCTAAAATTCCAACCCAAAGGAACTGGGCCTAAATAGTCTTATGTTTTTATTGTGGATTAAGTGATCAACTCTGAAATTCCAATTCCTTTTGCCATCTTTTCTTTTTTTTACTTGGATTAAGTGATTAACTAACTCTCCACAAATCTTCAAAAATCTAACTGTAGTGCAAGGTCTAAAAACCACCCCTTGATATTTTTTTCATGCCGTCACGATATTATTAATGTGTTGGTATTGATTTTAGTGCGTTATACCCCATATTTATTTATCAAAAGAACAATATTACTGAATATAGTGTACTGATCGCAATTCACGGAATTCAGAGAAGCGATACGCTTCTTTTGCCATTTTTTTCTTCATTGCATGAGAGATTATCATTAGTTACTTCTATTACTACATTGGGTGTTGGAAAATTTGTTAGCTGGTTGCAACAATCAAATCTCAGCAATAGTGAGTATGCCTAGACAGAGTAATATGGAGAACAAAATTATTGTATTTGCGGTTCTCAGAAATAAATATACTGCCAGCAAGGATTCAATCTGGCACAGTGATTTCAAAATGTTCCAAGCCCCCAGTTATGCTCAGCGCCATTATCATGATTTTCAGAACTAGCTAATACTGCTCCATCTAATTACTACACATCACTTAATACATTGCTTGATGAGCTGTACGTATGATTGTGCTAGATGAAAAACTGACTGATTCTCGATCCATCAAGAACTGATGTTTGGGACAGAGTGGTGTAGGAAGGGATATAATGTCAATGGG